TAGTTCTCTATCGTAGTGATTCAGTTATTGATGATGTTAATTATTTAAATTAGCATCATTGACCGTATAACATTTTGGTAGTATACCTGGGGGTTATCTTAATACAGAAGGCAAACCTTACATGCAAAATATTGTAAAACACCAACAAAAAATTGCATATCAACTCTTCTGGGTCTAAACTTCACTCTATGAAGTCACTTTGAAATGAATGGAAAACAAATATTTTTAGACTCTGTAGAGTCATTGGAATTTAGACAGTTTTAGAGTAAAAACTAGTTTTGGTTATTCGAGAATGCGACTGCAAATTATGTATCAGCATATTCCTTGCAATGATACTAAATATTAAAAAGGTCAAGCATCCATATTTACTTAAGTAATCAAATAATCAAAATATCTCCAGACCCGTTGTCTGCCGTATACATTACAATAAACAAAATTTCTATGAGAATATCATTAATTTAGTGTGGAAGTTCATTTATATGATAAATCTAACCCCCCCCCCCCAAACTCACTTCACTGGGACTAATTTAAAAAGAACTGTCCTAATAGAAATTTGGTCACACTTTTGTGCGTAAGATTATAATATTTTGCTTATAACAGAAATAAAACAGTGTTTTCTACTTCTGTACATCAATTTGTATGCTTTCTATTATTCCTTAATTATTTCCTAACATTTCTTTCATTATATTATAAAGAGTTTTGATATTTTTACAAGAAACAGTGTTTTACTTATGTACATTTCATTCACCGTAGTATTAAATTAAGCATTTGTTACGTATCGTTTCCGGTGAATTGAAATATACATTATGAATATTCAAATTAGCCGCCATAATAAATAGTTAAGAGAGCTATCTATCGTCGCGAATGGAAACTCCAAACAGCTGTCGTCTGTGTCAAACCCGTGGCAGGGGGTTAGCTTGATTCTTCTCCGAAATATTGTGCTGTTCTCACTAAATTTGAGTGCGGTGAGTGCATCAATGTAAACTAGAATTTGGTTGTTTGTTTCTGAGCGTCGTACTTAATTGATCGGTCAGAGAAATGTTTGAGTCAGTTCGTTTTTAATCGATTGGTGCTATATGAGTAAGTCTGATTGATTAGTTGGTACACTTGACTTGCATGCTCGTCGATTTTTCGATTGTTCCATATACACGGTAAGCGAATATATTTATTTTAATATTAGAACGGCAAAACAAACAAACAATTTAAGATTGCAACAAACGTCGGAGGGACGCCATGGTTATTGTTAGTCTCCGCGCACAGACATTGTATCTGCGATTGATCGTACGCTATTGCTGTTTGCAGTGTAATTTCAAATTTCGGTGGATCGATGCACAAACGGAGCGTGCATAATTTATTCAAAGAAATTATCATTTTTATCGCGCAGCGTGTGTGCGTCTTGGAACTTTGTTAGTTTGTTATGTGTAACGGGGACACGCGCGTTACGGGATCATTTATATGTCGCTAATAACAGTTTAATTGAGAGTAATTTAATATTCGTCGATGACCGCAATTATGAAATCGTAATGTTCACGGATCATTGTGCAGACTGGCAGAGTTCTTCTAAGAATAAAAAACAAACAAACAAGGGGATGGTTTGGTTCGTTCGTCGAATTCGAAATCTATATCTATTGTGCAGCTGAATTCACGACCTTATTGAATTTACCTCATAATCTAATTAAGGTATGAGTCGTTTATGTTCTCACTGCTCAGCCATTCTCATTTCTTTCATCTTTTCGCATCGATCAATATTTCGGAGTATTATATTTCTCTTTTCATTACCCGTAATAATTTTAAAACGAACGTGTTTCTGGTCGTCGCGAATCAATAGTAATAAATAAAAAGAACTAGGTTAACAGGGGAACCAACCTATTTCGACAGTGGAGCAACATTATCGACTGATAATATCAAGAAATTCCGATAAACCAGATGCTCCGATGAAAAACGTGGAAACGAAAAGAGAGCTCCGTGTCTCGCCTATAATATTATTTTCTCTCGTTAGAACATCGGTAGTCGCAACTTTCGTCCTTTTGGCCAATTGACTCCAGCCTCCTGCTGGAGTAGCATATATTTTTAGAAATATTTTCACGGAGCGTGGGAGTCGATCCTACAGCGGATGTACACTCAGACGCATGGGGGGCGTACAAAACGACAACATGATATCGGATGATAGTAACATCATGACTAAAGATGCTTGGCCGCACCGAAAAACACTGAACTGTTTCGGAAGTCATCGGGCTCGGCAATTATTTTCTCAGCCAATGAACATCCGTGTTATATCTGTGTATACATAGTACAGAGCTATTGAATGAAACAATCATTCTTCATAATTTTATTATCGCCACGTGACTTAAACACTGAACCCACCGGGCCGATCAAAATGAACGATTTCACATTTTGTATTTGAAAATTGTTGAAATTCCAACGACTCTTTCATACGTAATGATCGAATAAATTTCTTAATCCAAGTACTCATTGTAATAAAAATGATGGAAAGCTTAAATAAATTTAGTCTCATCATTCTTACAGAGCAACACGCATTCGTCATTTTTAATGCCGTGTAGGTTTCGTGTTAAATTTATAGCGCTTTCCCTATTTCCAGCCGGTTGCTGCTCACCAGGGGCATGTCATATATCTAACATTTCATATGTGTGCATTAATATTTCTCTAGTAAAATTCCTCACAATCCTACCAAATTTTACTTAAATATTTCATACACCAGCTACCGGCAGCTGTTCTACCTATACCTTTCAAAAGTATAATTCACAGCTGAGAACTTTTCAATCCATTTTTTAACGGCGCTAGCAGTCTTCTATTTCTTTCTCCTAAGATATTTTCCCTATTTACGTTTAACTCCAGAATTTTCAGACGAGTCAAAATGACAAATTCCGAATCTCTTATTTCACGAGATCATAGCATGATCATAGCAAAGTGCAATCTAGTTGTCGCAACTGCCTAGTCTTTTCATTATAAAAAGCATAACGTTCCCCATCGATCGCATCGAAAGAGAGACAAGTCGGAAAAATATTGTAGCATCAGCTTGACCTGAAATTCCACGTTTCCACTGAAACGGCGACAGCACGCAGCCGTAAACAATCCAAGAAAACTATCGACCCGTCGTAAACGGTTTGTCGAAAGTTTCGTCGAACACGTTCCGTCCAAGAAAAATCCCCCGTACTCAACGATGGAAATCGCGGTTTAATATATTTCACTCTTGAAAAGCTGCATAGAATTGATTTCTAGGATTCCATTCTTCGCGTCCAACTGCTCCACTTTATTCGCCCCTCCTGTGCTCTCTCGCCGAATTTTCTCTGGCAGGCCGACTCGGTCGTTCCGAGTCGGATGTCCTAGAGCCGAGAGCACGAAGAACAACCGAATAATTGCGTGTACTCTCGTCGAGCTCCAATTGTCCCGAAACAATCGATTCGGCCCGGAATCGGTGTTGACTAGAGCGCGTGGAAGCATCTTCGTATCCCCTGTCTCTCCGCGAAGGTGGAGCATCTTCGCACCCCGAGGTTCCTCGACCGGTGCTCGCGAGTTTTGCGGCGAGGGTTGGATCCTCGCGACGACGACGACGACGACGTCGACGGTTAAGCAGGCAAGGTATTACTAGGTAAACAATTAGGTGTCGCCGCGACAGCGTGGGCGTAGATGAGACTCGTCGGGGTAAAAAAACCAGGGCGAAATAGCAGAGAGAACGTTCTGTGTCGGTGGGCCGAAGAAAGCGTGGTGAGAACAGGTACGGAGAAAGGGAACGATGAAAGGGAAGAAGGGAAAGTGGAGGGACCGCTCGCGAAAGTAAAGGGAGAGAGGGACGAGGCGAGAAGGACGAACTGCCCTGAACGTAGATGACGGAGAGGGTGCGGAGGGTGGGGGGCCGACGGGAAAGATTGAATCGAGAGGAGAGGCAGAAGGAAGTGGCCCGAGGAGTAATAAAGAAAGGAAGAAAGGAGAAGGAGAAGGAAAAGGAGAAAGAGGGTCGGACCGAGTTGTTCGGGCCGGAGGGAAAAAGTGCTGGAGTCGGGGGGAGTGGGGGAGCAAAGGGCCAGATGGTGGGAGAGCGAGAGAGGGAGAGAGAGAGAGAGAGGGACAGAAAGGCTGACTAGTAGCCGGGTATCGATCGTCAGCTAGAAAACTACCCCTTGAGGAAGAGGCGCAGTGTGCAAAGCCGACGACGTACGAGTCGGTGGTGTTCGCGGTGCTCGTGGTCCACGCGGCTCTGTAGAGGGTCTGGAGTATCACCGACCACCCTGATCGCTAGTATCCTCTCTGGACGAGCATCGGCACGCTCGGCGAACCGGAAGACACGTTGCGAGGGTGTTGCGGGTCCTGCACGAGGTGAGAACTCGGGTGCTCCTCCGACTCGCATCCCCTTCGGGACCGATTAAGGACCCTGCTCCTCTTCCGTCGTCTTTACCAAAAAGTCGAACAACAAAGTGCTGCACGATCCACGGTAATCCGCACGCGTCGTCCGTCTACGCAGAGCCTGTTACACAATTCACCAGCTTCTCGTCGTTAGTGACTGAACGTTTCAAGGTGAAACCACGCTCCCGGGTTACGTATCTCGCGCGTTCGATTCGAGTCGGGGCTCCCAGCTCCGCGTGTTATTGTGCCAGAGCGAGGATATATCTCGATCGCGGGTCGGGTGACATTTACGCGATCGCTGTCGAATTCGCTGGTGTCACCTTTCACCTTTCGCCCCTGGGAGTCACGAGTCCTCGGTTCTTTCTGTGTCCCACGGAATTTTATTATCTTCGCTCGTTGTTTTCTCCACCAACGTATCCCGGGGATGCGGAGATCGTCGGTCGACCCTTCGTTATTCTTCCGTGATCCATGTACCGTCTTTTGTCCTTTGACAGCCTTCGACCAGGCTGAATCTTGAAGGGGGTTCAAAAGATGTCGCGGAAAGATTATAGGTGAACCCCCGTTTTACGTGGAACGTTTGCCCTTATTTGTGCGGCACGTCTCTCGAAGGAGCCCGTCGAGAGGGAGGCGCCGCGCCGTAAGGTTAATTCTTCCCACTCGTTCTCTCGTGCTCTCTCTCTCTCTCTCTCCCTCTCTCTCTCTCTTTCCCTTTGTAAGACTCTATTTTTGGGCCGGTGCGCCGACCGTGGAAAAGGATGACTCGTTCGGGAAACAACGAGACAGCAGCGTACACCTGTGCTGATGCAATTCGCGACATCATCGGCGATCCTTGCTAGCGGAGATGACCGTGCTCACGCCGGTGTGTCTCCCGCTCGGTGTCCGCGCGACATTCGAGAGGATTACGCCGCGCTTACGGCCGTGTCGGTGATCATTACATCAGAAGTAAGTCATGATGCTGGAAAACGTGGTCGATCAATAACATTGAAAATCATCCGTCCGTGGACGAGCAGATCTGGCGTGCAGCCAACCGGCCAGTCATAAATTTCAACCCTACCCTTCCTTTGTTTTCTGAAAATCCCTCTGACGAGCCCGTGTGAACTATGTTGCAGATTTCTCTCTATCCCTGGCCCGTGAATAGACAGAAAACACCGGTCCACCATGGCGTTCGCGGGGTTGAAGAAACAGATTAACAAGGCCAACCAGGTGAGCGAGCACGATCCCACGCTGTTGATCGATCGGGGAAGCATGCACACATCGTATTCCGTCGACCCGATCGATTCCGTCTCGGTTTTCCGTCGAATTCTCGATAACGGTCGAGCGCGAAAGAACGATGGACCATAGATAAGATCGAGGGTTAAATTACTAGACTGTGGTCCTTTATGCAAAATAAAAGATTTCTGCATCAATTGCAGAACGTAGAAGCCAGGTAGAGTTTTTGTTCTTTCCAATTAGTACATCAACGTTCTTAATACCTTTTAACATCCAGCTATTTTTGTCATAAATGCATAAAATCCGCAGTCTAGTAATTATGATTTCTATGGGACGTCGGTAGACTGCGCATGTTTATGCATTAGTAGCATCCGTTGATACGTAAAATGCAGTACGATAAAGATTGTCATCGAGTTTAGCACTGCATACATGTTTCTCCTACTATTAGAGCAGGAATTCAAGCGACGATCATTTCCCTGTGCTTATAAAAGTAACAATGAGGCACTTATTCCCCGATTTCGAACGAGCGTTACTGCTAGACTGCGGATCTTTACGCAAAAGAAAAGTGAGTAATTGTTTAAAACAATAATTGAATAACAATATATTTCGTCGTTTAATAATTTTAATCGATTGACAATAATGTAACAACGCTCTTAAAGATTCCACTAATGTTTTCATTATTCTGTACGTCTCTCATGAATTTTTTGCAATAGATGCATAAAATCCGCACTCTAGTTATTGCAATATTTGCCGCGAGTGACGCATATATCGACTAAGTAACTCATAATTGTACCTTTACAATCTGAATAACCGTAAATTAAGAAATTAGTTCGAAGAAGAATTTCGACGTAAATCTAATATTAAGCTTGCGAATCTGCATAAACATCCATCGACTATTTTATTCCCGATTATCGTTTATGTGTTATTTTGGGGTCTTCTATGGTCTAGTCAGCGGCAGCTTCCGTTTGATTCCCGGCCCTGAAAGAACCTTTTGAACGCGCGAACTGTAAATAGAGCACATATTTCCAGTCTCGTTGTGCGGAGAAATGAAATACTCCGCGTTCCTCCTGCACACCGGTCTTTGTTGCATATTGAACGGAACCCCGTGTCTTATGTAATTATTGAACTCGGTACAAATTGATCGTAATGCGGTAACAAGTGACCGGGCTCTATTTTGAAGAGCACTAGCGAGGTTTCCAGCCGCGTATCACGCGGAAATTTTCTTTTGCTACGAACGCGAATCTTTAATGGGGGTAGGCACCCCTGTGAACATCGGATAACAGCAATTTTTAAAGTAACATTTTGAAAATACATATCTTCATATGGCGTATTTTTGCGAGATACTCAAATATATAGAAATTAATTTTATAAATATATTTCTTACGTAAGAGAAAGAAGTTTTTCTTTTCGAAGAAATCATCGGGCCGTGAAATCCGTACCCTTCTTTTTTCAGTACCGTGAACATATATTTAAAACAAATTTCAGCTGAAAAATATTATTCTTGAGGAAGTTACAGTTCAAAGACAATCGCAATAGAAACAAGCAGACAACCATTGGAAATGATTCCGAGTTATGGTAGAAACGATTTTACTGAAAGGAACAGATTCAACGGTATTTGTTCGTGTTACTGAAAAAATAAGGGTACGGATTTCACGNGTCAGCGGCAGCTTCCGTTTGATTCCCGGCCCTGAAAGAACCTTTTGAACGCGCGAACTGTAAATAGAGCACATATTTCCAGTCTCGTTGTGCGGAGAAATGAAATACTCCGCGTTCCTCCTGCACACCGGTCTTTGTTGCATATTGAACGGAACCCCGTGTCTTATGTAATTATTGAACTCGGTACAAATTGATCGTAATGCGGTAACAAGTGACCGGGCTCTATTTTGAAGAGCACTAGCGAGGTTTCCAGCCGCGTATCACGCGGAAATTTTCTTTTGCTACGAACGCGAATCTTTAATGGGGGTAGGCACCCCTGTGAACATCGGATAACAGCAATTTTTAAAGTAACATTTTGAAAATACATATCTTCATATGGCGTATTTTTGCGAGATACTCAAATATATAGAAATTAATTTTATAAATATATTTCTTACGTAAGAGAAAGAAGTTTTTCTTTTCGAAGAAATCATCGGGCCGTGAAATCCGTACCCTTCTTTTTTCAGTACCGTGAACATATATTTAAAACAAATTTCAGCTGAAAAATATTATTCTTGAGGAAGTTACAGTTCAAAGACAATCGCAATAGAAACAAGCAGACAACCATTGGAAATGATTCCGAGTTATGGTAGAAACGATTTTACTGAAAGGAACAGATTCAACGGTATTTGTTCGTGTTACTGAAAAAATAAGGGTACGGATTTCACGATCCGACGATTGTTTCGAAGAAAGAACGAATTTTTCTCACGTGAAAAGTATATCTACAAAGTTAATTTCTACATATTTGAAATTGTCGTAAAAAATACTGTGAGAGCAAATGTTTTCAAAATTTTATCTTCAAAAGATACTGGTAGCCGATATTCACAAGATTGCGAACCCTTAAACATCTACGAATGTTTCTCGGTGAATTCTCCCGCGGCTTCGCAATCGTCGAGAACGTCCTCCAACGTTCCTCCGACGTTCCTCCACGCTGAGCTATTTCTTCGTCCTCGTACGTTGAGAAATAGTCGCAAGAAAGATCCTTCGGTGACCATTTTCGTTCCCCGCTTTTCCCAACTGATTACGATACAATCGCGGAGAGATTTGTTAGGACCGTTTTAATTACTCGCTGCGATTTTGGGAGCGGTTAGCCGAATCGCGGAACGTGACTACCGTTGAGTCACGGCCAATTACGAGTCATTAATTACCAGATTTCATATCGGCCGACGTTCCAGACGTTCGTCCAACGTTCCGACTTGAGAGAACAGAACTCTCGCGCTCGCGCCTCGATGCAACTTGAGTGGAACAATTAATTCTTATTTAGGGCCGACGCTTATTAAATTCGACCTGGGAGACGACGGTGACCGGTCGTCGTCTCGTCGCGTCCCATTCAGACTTTTTTTTTCCCAAGAGCGTTTCCTCGCTGGAATATTCCGAGCATGATAGCGGCCAGATTGCGCGCAGATCGATTGAAATCACTCGCTGCATCTCGTTCGGGACACAATTTCCTATAATATAAAGGGATGCAAATGTTGCGAATGGCTGCCGGCTCTATTTGACGGCAGCGGCCGGCTTAATTCTAGTCAGACGTCGTTTTTAACGAATCGCGAAACGATGCTCGAATGGTCGAGTGGTTTCGACTTCGATCATTCCGAGGCAATGTCTTATTCATGATAAATTTATATAAGGAACCGAGGTTTTATTCCTGGTACGATGTAGCTCCGCGTTTCGAGTTGCGAAAGAGCCGGCCCTTTTGCTGTTCGAGCCACGCCACTTTTCCGATCTTCTTTAAAATCGAACAATTAATTAGAACGGAAATCTGCGAGCGCAGTCTACCATTATCATTTTCGTTGTAATCACTAATATCTATTGCCTTATTACGAGCCACTCCGCTTCTCGAAGATGCAGGCATAATTTAGTCCTTTGATCGCGGAATCTCGTAATTGGATCAACATTTCTTTTGCTCCGCGGAGATTGGAGACGGTTCGAGAACGGCTTCTCAATTGGCCGAGATTTCTTAGAACTTTCTTTCTTCCGGAACCAGAGGGTTTCTTGCTTCGAGACCATTTAGACTGCGTGGCAAAGATTACTATTCATTTTTAAGTGTATGCATTTCGATCCACCTTTCATCGGAGAACTCTTTCAGACCTGCTAATTTTCCGAGCGACCACTATAAGTGACATTCTATGGTCCAGCAGACTTTTCATATGCTTTATTATCCGATTGCATAATTGAACGATGATTATTAAACGTTGCAATTCGAGTTTAAAACATCCGCAATTCGAGTTCCGTTCACGTCGGCTCGATTTCTTCATTTTTCTAGATTTTCTGATACCCTCTTTTTTTTAGATCAGAACATCCATTCTTCAAGTCCATTTAAACTAAGTAACAAGCATAACAATTCATTCTCAGGTCCATTCTGCTGCGTCCTCTTCTTCGAGAATCTCTTCTACAGTTTTTCTTCGTCGTTTCTTTTTATTGTGCAGTTTCAAGCTCTATAAAGAGGTTATTCTGCAAATCCAGAGGCACGCGAATACACGGAAAGTGTAGTCGCTGCAACTTTATTTGTTACGTTTGTTATCCGGTTATATTGTTTGCTTAATACCGAATTACATAATAGTGGAAGAAAAAACAATTACTCCGATGCTTCTGTGTCGTGAATGGTACACTGTTGTTTCCTTCGTCGTTGATTCGTCGATTTGACCATTCCAAGGGACATTTTTATAGTCCAATAGATTCTTAACGTCTTGTAATACACGATTAGGCGAGAACTGTGTTAACTAAAATGTGTAGTTTCCGCAACTCGAGTTGGTCCCCTCGTCCGTGCTTCCTGGGGCAACGTTTCGTTACTTATCACTAGATTACGGATTTCATGCATTCATGGCGGAAACAAGCAGCTGACATATAATATTGTGAAGACACAAAGAAGAATTTAACGCTAGATTTACGGAGCTCTGAAAGCGGCCGTTTTATATTAGCTTATAAAAGTAACGATAAGACATGTATTCTGATTTTTGAACCAGCGTTATTGTAATATCTGCTGCAAATGTATAAAAAAATGTAACTTTACAATCTGAATAATTGTAAGTTAAAAAATTAGTGATCCGTCATTTTCGCGGGTTCCATAAACCTTTACTGGAAGGAACAGATTCAACGGTGTTTGTTCGTGTTACTGAAAAAATAAGGGTACGGATTTCACGATCCGACGATTGTTTCGAAGAAAGAACGAATTTTTCTCACGTGAAAAATATATCTACAAAGTTAATATAAACATATCGTCGAACTATTGGGTCGTTCGGAAAGTTGTTTCGTTCTTTCGCGAGAAAATTAAAGACGATTTTTTCAATGTTACGAGTAAA